CTCCGCGGTAACATCCAAGCATACAATCGGAACATTTCGTATTATTACAGTGTTTTTGGTGATTTTATCTGCAAAATAAGTGACCATGGGCCCCAAGAAAGCTTGTAGTGCCAACCCTACAGCAATAAGGGTGAGAATTACTATAGAGATGAAGAAAAAGATCATTGATAAGTATGAAAGTGGAGTGCGTGTCTCCGTACTGCTGCTGCTGTACCACCGTCAGCTGCTGCTTCTGCTGCTGCACTGTCAGCTGCTGCAGTACTGTCTGCTGCTGCTCTAGCATCGTCTGCTGCTGCTGCTGTACCACCGTCAGCTGCTGCTGCTGCTGTAGTACCGTCTGCTGCTGCTGTAGCATCGTCTGCTGCTGCTGTAGCACTGTCAGCTGCTACTGCTGCTGTACCACCGTCTGCTGCTGCTGTAGCATCGTCTGCTGCTGCTGTAGCACTGCCAGCTGCTGCTGCTGCTGTAGCACCGTTGTTGGTGTGGCTTATTGAGAATACCAAGAAACAATTAACCCCAGAGGATTAGCCACCCTAGGATAACCCAAAAAAGTCAGTGTCATCGAAGACTGTCTAACTTATTTCCATTTGGGGTCCTTAATCTTGTCTCCCAGGATGCAACCCACACCAGTCCACTAACACCCAGGTGAACATGGAAAAATGCCTGGAACTAGTGCTCATATTGGTGAATTTAAAGCCAGCAAAGGTTGGTTTGAGAGATTTAAGAATTGTAGTGGCATACACAGTGTGATAAGGCCTGTTCTGGAAGAAAATGCCAAACAGGACCTACAGTACTCAAGAGGAAAAGGCACTCCAGGACACAGTGTCTCATCAGTCATTGCTGCATCTTCAATAAAGGTAAGTGTCATTTTTTCTTCATTTAGTAGAGTAGTACATGCACAATATATACTGTGCATGTACTACTCTACTACTGTGCATGTATCCTTCTCTTTGTGTGTAGGAAAATGTATATTTCATGTGGTAAAAAATTTTTTTTTTCATACTTTTGGGTGTCTTGCACGGATTAATTTGATTTCCATTATTTCTTATGGGGAAAATTGATTCGCATAACGATAATTTCGCATAACAATGAGCTCTCATGCACGGATTAATATCGTTATGCGGGGGTCCACTGTATAAATAATAGAAGTCCTCAGGTTGTTGTTCAACTCTCTATATCTTCGGTTAGGCCTCATTTTGATTGTTGCACAGTTCTCGTCACCGCATCACAGAATGGATATAAATGCACTGGAAAACATACAAAGAAAAATGACAAAATTGATTCTATGTATCAGAAATCTTCCCTACGAGGAAAGACTGAGGGCCCTGAATCTGCACTCTCTAGAAAGGCGTAGAATTAGGGGGGATATGACAGAGGTGTATAAATGGAAAACAGGAATTAATAAAGGGGATGCAAATAGTGCTAAAAATATCTAACATAGACAGGACTTGCAGCAATGGTTTTAAATTGGAAAAATTCAGATTTAGGAAGGATATAGGAAAGCACTGTTTTCATAACAAAGCTGTGGATGAGTGGAACAAACTCCCGAGTACTGTCATAGAAGCTAAGACGATGTGTAGTTTTAAAAATAGGTTGGATAAATACCTGAGGAGGTGTGGGTGGGTGTGAGTTGGACCTAACTAGCTTGTGCTACTAGGTCGGATGCTTTAAGTGACATGCCTGACCTCACTAGGTCAGTGAGGTCAGACAGTCAGTGAGCTTAAACCGGTAGGAGAACTGAACCTGCCTCGCATGGGCCAGTAGGCCTATTGCAGTGTTCGTTCTTTCTTATATTCTTATATGTGTAAAGAACTTAGGATAACCCCAAAAAATGTGACAGTAACTTATTTCCATTGGGTTCCTTTAAAGACCCACAAGATGCACCATCAATAGAACTAGCCCTGCAGCAAATGGTTAGTGTACAAATTATCGTTACACCTTGGGAAAACAGAAGCCATACTCTTTGGCACAAAACAAAAGGGCAAATAATTTTAATGTCCAGTGTAATGGGGAACCCATCACTTCAGTTTCCTCAACGATAAACATATCTGGGAATTTCCTTTGACTCAAGCATCAGGAGAATTGACAGGGAACAGTGTTATAAAGCAAGCAAATGCCAGACTAAAGTTCCTCTACAAACAAGCACAGTGTCTACATACTAAGGCTCGCAGGACCTAATGTTTAGCTCTTATACAATGTCATATTGACTACTATTGCTTTTCAGGTACTCTACCTTAACAAAAAAAAAAAAAAAAAAAAAAAAAAAAAAAAAAAAACGAAAAACTAAAAAATACCCAGAACAAAATACATGTAATAATAATATATCTCTATTTACTTCAAGTACATGTACATGGTATACAGGCCTGGTTGACATCAATGACATACTACATATATAAAAAGCTGCTTGTTATGCAGAGCATTTTGAACAAATTAGGTCAGTTTTGTCCCAGGATGCAACCCACACCAGTCAACTAACTCCCAGGTACCCATTTCACTGATAGGTGAACATAGATGCCCAATGTAAAGAAACACACCCAATGTTTCTACCCTTGCTGGGAATCGAACCCAGACCCCTCACCATGTGAAGCGAGAGCTTTTAGCCACTAGGCCACAGGGCATTCTGGATCTGGGTCCAAGAGAGCATGTAGGCCAGGATGAATTACAACTGGATATCTAGATGAATGGTTCAGAGAACCAACAAGTTGCATATGTGTTTAATTTATCAACTTGTTGGTTCTCTGAACCATTCATCTACATTCTTGTCCGACATGGCAACACCTCGGGATCTTAATACAAGGAATTCTTCACTCGCCTAACCCTTGGGCATGATCTACTTCCACACTGGACAAATGTGATACCACCTACGACTGCTGCACCTCTCCTGCCTCCAGTATATAAGCTACTTCTTTGCACATATGCTGCATTCTTTTCAAGACTGACTAAAGGCTGAGGGACTGATTACCTCAAACTACTCCTGTTCTTCACCATTCTCCTTTGTATGGACTGATGAAGCCACTGTATGGCAAAACGTTTCCTCATTAAAGATACACAAGTGTTGCACACGTGTCTAATTTATCAACAATTGGATATGCTGAATGTTAAAGATAGAGTAAAACAACTGAAGTTAAATCATGTTTATAAAATTGCTCACAAACATTGTCCAGAATATCTTGCTGCTAAGTTTAAGCTGGAAGCCAAAGCAACTAGGGAGAAAGAGCACAACTTTGTAGTACCCGCAGTCATGGTCAGGCTTCAAACATATTTTATTGTACAGCAATAAAGGAGTGGAAAAATGCTGCCTGCACATATCAAAACCTGTCACAGCATAAGCCAGTTCAAGAACAAACCAAAAGGTACCTAATAAATGTAGCTACAGAAAGGGAGGAGAGTGATTTCTTGTACACCTAACATACATGTACCTATTATTGTGATTCGATCCTATCTTTAATGTTAATGTAACTCGCTTTACCTTATTCCTAGTATATCTCCTTTTGTTTACATTATTATAGGTTATCGCAGCGCTGTATAGCCCTTGTGGCTTAGCGCTTCTTTTTGATTATAATAATTATAGGTTATTACAAGGATCCCAATGGAAATAAGTCACTTTGTCCGACATTTTTGGGGGTTATCCTAGGTAATCTACACATATGCTATGTATAACTTATGTAACAGTATTTGTGCACCTGTACCTGAATAAACTTAAGTAAGTAAGTTACTAATTCCATGGAACTGCAAGGAACTTCCCTGGAGGATTATGTCAAAGACAATGCTAGACACAGTATATAAGTAAGTTTATTTAGGTACAGGTACACAAACGGTTGCATAAATTATCATACATAGTAACATATGTATAAATTTCTTAGGATAACCCAAAAAAGCCAAAGTGATTATTTCAACTTGGAGGCTTGTATTTCCACTGGGGTCCTTGTATTTCCACTGGGGTCCTTGTATTTCCACTGGGTCCTTGTATTTCCACTGGGGTCCTTGTATTTCCACTGGGGTCCTTGTATTTCCACTGGGGTCCTTGTATTTCCACTGGGGTCCTTGTATTTCCACTGGGGACCTTGTATTTCCACTGGGGACCTTGTATTTCCACTGGGGACCTTGTATTTCCATTGAGGTCCTTGTATTTCCACTGGGGCCCTAGTAATTCCACTGGGGTCCTAGTATTTCCACTGGGGACCTTGTATTTCCACTGGGATCCTAGTATTTCCACTGGGGACCTTGTATTTTCACTGGGGCCCTTGTATTTCCACTGGGGTCCTTGTATTTCCACTGGGGTCCTTGTATTTCCACTGGGGTCCTAGTATTTCCACTGGGGTCCTTGTATTTCCACTGGGGTCCTAGTAATTCCACTGGGGTCCTAGTATTTCCACTGGGGTCCTAGTAATTCCACTGGGGACCTTGTATTTCCACTGGGGTCCTAGTAATTCCACTGGGGTCCTCGTATTTCCACTGGGGTCCTTGTATTTCCACTGGGGTCCTTGCTATATATTACTAATAAAACTAGAGTTCAATTATCATGACCAATAGTTAAGCAACTCGTCTAGTAGTATAGAAACTTAAATCTTTTAGTAAGAGGTAATTATCCATTATTACCTACAGTCATTAGTGCATTTACCTTCTAGAAAGTACATAGAGGAAGAGGAGTACATACAAGGTTTACTCTAAGATGTTGCAGCAGTGACCAAGTGAACATGACAGACAGTGCCGTCTGGCAGACAGTGCCAGGTGGCACTATAATGACAAACAAACAAACTGTGATAAGAATGCGACCTGCTTCCTACTTTCTCTAGGTCATTCATAAAGTTCATGAACAAGTACAACCCATGGCCAGCCCATGAAAGGCCCAGGAGGCATGACAGCAGAGGCATATAGGCCTATATTTTACCATGACTGCTTACAAACCTGCTATATAATGTATCATGTTTAGCAGGAGCAGCGGTGTATGGAGTCCCATTGACCCCGGCCATTATTACTGCTCTCGACACATTACTCACCAGTCCGTGGCTTTCTTGTCACTCACTACATCATTAAAGGCTTGTAACACTGAGTTCCGGTTGGTGTCGAGGTCAATACTCATGTTGGTGGGTGTATGTTAAGTGAGGAGGTACACATGCAGCCGCCTGGCTCACACAGCGATGACTGAGCCACCAGTGGCAGACACCACACACTACACTACATGTAAACACTGCCTCCATACACACACACACACACACACACACACATACTACACACATATATAAACACACACACACTACACACACATATATATACACACACACTACACACATATACACACTACACAACACATATATATACACACACATATATATAATACACACTACACACACATATATATATATATATATATATATATATATATATATATATATATATACACATATACACACACTACACACACATATATTACACACACTACACATATATATACACACACACTATACACACATGCACTCTACACACATACTACACACACACACTACACACACTACACACACACACACACACACACACACACACATCGATCAGTGAAGAGGCGGGGCCAGGAGCTCGGACTCGACCCCCGCAACCTCAACTAGGTGAGTACACACACACAGGGCAAGGAGCTGAGTCTCGACCCCTGCAACCACAATTAGGAGAGTGTACACACTCTATACACACTCCACACACACTCTACACACAATGGGTCACAATTGGAAGTTGAAGACCCAGATGAGTCAAAGGGATGTTAGGAAGTATTTCTTCCGTCAGAGTAGTCAGGAAGTGGAATAGTCGAGCAAGTGAGGTAGTGCAGGCAGGAACCATACATAGCTTTAAGGTGAGACATGATAAAGCTCATGGAGCAGGGAGAGAGAGGACCTAGTAGCACTCAGTGAAGAGGCGGGGCCAGGAGTCGAGTCTCGACCCCTGCAACCACAATTAGGCGAGTATACTACACACACAGATGAGAGGTTAAGGGAAATCGACCTAACGACACTGGAGGACAGGAGAGAGAGAGGGGGGGGGACATGACAACAATAAAATAAAATACTGAGAGGAATTGACAAGGTGGACAGAGATAGAATGTTCCAGAGATGGGACACAGCAACAAGGGGTCACAATTGGATGTTGAAGACACAGATGAATCACAGGGATGTTAGGAAGTATTTCTTCAGTCACAGTAGTCAGGAAGTGGAATGGTTTGGGAAGTGATGTAGTGGAGGCAGGATCCATTCATAGCTGTAAGCAGAAGTAGAATAAAAGCTCATGGTGCAGGGAGAGTGACCCAGTAGCGGCCAGTGAAGAGGCGGGGCCAGGAGCTATGAATCGACCGCTGCAACCACAACTAGGTGAGTACACACACACGCACACACTACACACACAGTCATATGGAGGTTGGGAAGTACTTCAGCCTCAGGGTGTTAGTGAAATCAATCAATCAAGTTTATTCTCTACAAGGGTTACAATGCGGGGTTTACAGATTTTGGATATTGTGTGGTTTACATGTTTTAAAATACTAATTACAGAGGGGGCCACTCGGACACCTAGCATGGCTAGGTATTTCGGGCAGACTTAGATTAATTTTAAACTTTAAATTATTACAGATTATGGTATTAAGGCTAAGTGACTACATTATAGTTTGTGAGTTTAGCAATGTGAATGCTTTTGTTTTGGCACAATACATAGTGTCTATATTGGAGTATCATAGGCAAACTTATGACTAGTTAGGATTCATTATTTTAAGATTAAGATTCGTATTTCTGTGTTTATAGTCAATGGGTGAGTGAGTGTAAGTGTGAACCACCAGGTGGTTATCATGTAGTTAGTTGTCGGGGTGTATCAGGGAGATAAGATGTTTTCTAGCTGTAGTTTTGAAAGTGATGAATGTGTCTGCAGTTCTAGAGTTCTCAGGTAGGGTGTTCCACATTTTAGGTCCTTTGAAATACATTGAATTTTTGTAAAGGTTTAGTCGGACACGGGGAATGTCCTAGAGATGTTTGTGTCTGGTGTTATGCCTGTGGGTTCTGCCACAACTATCAAGAAAGCGTTTTAGGTCAAGGTTAATATTGGAATTTAAGGTCCTGTAGATGTAGATTGCACAGAAGTGTGGATGTTCTAAACATGGAGTAAGTTTAGATCTATGAAGAGGTGGGGGGGTTGCCAGGGATGGGATTTAGTGATTATTCTTACTGCGGCTTTGTTGGGTTATTATTGGCTTTAGATGTGTTGCTGCAGTTGATCCCCAAGCACAAATAGCATAGGTGAGGTATGGATAAATGAGTGAATGGTATGGTGTGAGAAGGGCAGTTTGCGGCACGTAGTATCGTATCTTGGATATGGGTGCTGGAATTTAGGTTGTTGTCGAGGTATAGACCTAGGAATTTACCCTCATTATGTCTGGCAATTAGAGTGTTGTCGATCTTAATGTTAAGTTGCGCAACACCTGCTCTGCAGTAGTGGAGGCAGGCTTCATGCGTAGTTTTAAGAATAGGTATGACAGGGCTCCAGAGGCTAGGAGTCAGCGAGTCTGGCAAGTGGTAGGTTATGGGGTTAGACCAGGAGCCAAGATTCGACCCCTGCACAACATAGCTAAAAAATTAAGGGAGCTCAACCTGATGACACGAGAATATGAGGGATAGGGGGATATGATAACGACGTATAAAATACTAAGAGGAATTGACAAGGTGGACAGGGTTAGAATGTTTCAGAGATGTGACAGTTGAAAACTCAGACGAGTCATAAGGGTGTTAGGAAGTATTTAACCTTAGAGTCGTCAGGAAGTGGAACAATCTAAGTGAAGTAGTGGAGGCAGGATCTACATATAGCTTTAAGAAGAGGTATGGTAAGGCTCTCGGAACGGGAGAGAGTGACCAGGTAGCTACTAGCGAAGAGGCGGGCCATGAGCTGTGAATCGACCCCTCCAACAACATATAGGTTGGTACCTATTAAAAACACACACACCACACACACACAGTTCTGTCAAGCGACGGTTTAGTATAGAAAATGTACTTTCTAGAAAGGTAGAGTGGAGAGAGAGAGAGAGAGAGAGAGAGAGAGAGAGAGAGAGAGAGAGAGAGAGAGAGAGAGAGAGCCAGCCAGCTAGCATTACCTTGTACGGACATGGTGGAGAACATACTTCAACAAATGTTCTTGACAAAAAGTTCAGTGGAGGTGTCCCGGTGTTCTCCCCACCACTTCATATTTGCACACTTGAATCACTGATCCCTCGTACATTAATCAGTCGAGGAGTAGACTCCCTTCATAATAAATACTGCAGGTGTTTTACCAGTATTAATCACACTTACATGTGTGTGTGTGTGTGTGTGTACTAGTCGCTACTAGGTCACTCTCCCTGCTCCATGAGCTTTATCATACCTTTTCTTAAAGATACGTATGGATCCTGCCTCCACTACATCACTTTCCAGGCTATTCCACTTCATGAGAACTCTGTGGCTGAAGAAACACTTCCTAACTTCCCTGTGAGTCATCTGAGTCTTAACTTCCAACTGTGACCCCTTGTTGGTGTGTCCCATCTCTGGAACATCCGTCTCCATCCATCTTGACAATTCCTCTCAGTAATTTATATGTCGTTATCATTTCTCTCCTGTCCTCCAGTGTCGTCAGGCCGATTTCCCTTAACCTTTCTTCGTAGGTGTGTGTGTGTGTGTGTGTGTGTGTGTGTGTGTGTGTGTGTGTGTGTGTTTTAGGCTCATCACCACTAAGGACCCAAGAGCTGCCGTCCTGCTGTTCCAGCATCTCAGTGTGGCCGTGCTGAGGGAAATGCCAGCTGCATTCTCTCCTCCCGTCCACCTTCTAAGCACCTGGAGGACATTCATAACCTGTTTTAAAATGTGTTAATGTAAACATGAGTGTACTAATTATATAAGTAAATATATTAAACTGGAAATATGGAGACGAGCTTCTTATGCGATTTTGTTATAAACTGTCCAGTATTCAATGGGTTATGCCATGTTAATAGTTATATTTCGTACCTTTGTGGTAGCAGCTATTTTATAACAAAGAAATAAATGTAAAGAAATCTTACTTCACCTATAATTTAACTCCTATAATACTCCTTTTAGTAAAAAGTACATTATACAGCGTATACAGATCATAGCTCACATCAGTGATAGACTATACAGAAAGTTAGTTTTACGGAGAATTTCGGGCAAATTAGGTTAATTTTATGCCCAGGATGCGACCCACGCAAGTCAGCTAACACCCAGGTACCTGTTCACTGCTAGATAAACAGGGACAGCAGGTATCTTAAGGAAACACGCCCAAATATTTTCACCCATACCGGGGATCTGACCACGGACCTCACTGTGTGAGGTGAGTGCACTACCAACCCAGCTGCGGGACGCCTTAGATCACATTTGCTTATTTTTTGTTTATATTTTTGTTTTCTTGGTTACCAAACTATACCATTTTATCTGACCCAAAATGTAACTGTCTTCATTATGCAACCAGCGAAACATTGGGGAATATATGTAAAAACATTTCACTAAGCTTAAAGCACAAGAACCTCGTCTCAGGTGGCCCGGTGGTCTGGTGGCTAAAACTCCCGCTTCACACACGGAGGGCCCGGGTTCGATTCCCGGTGGGTGGAAACATTTCGACACGTTTCCTTACACCTGTTGTCCTGTTCACCTAGCAGCAAATAGGTACCTGGGTGTTAGTCGACTGGTGTGGGTCGCATCCTGGGGGACAAGATTAAGGACCCCAATGGAAATAAGTTAGACAGTCCTCGATGACGCACTGACTTTCTTGGGTTATCCTGGGTGGCTAACCCTCCAGGGTTAAAAATCCGAACGAATCTTATCTTATCTATTAGTTATCATTTTATATTTTATTATAGAAACTTGTTGACGACACACCAGTTCTGTGTTTGTATGTACTTACCTATACATACCTATTTGTGGTTGCAAGGGTCGATTCACAGCTCCTGGCCCCGCCTCTTCACTAATCGCTACTAGGTCCACTCTCTGCCTGCCTCATGAGCTTTATCATACCTCTTCTTAAAGCTATGTATGGATCCTGCCTCCACATCACTCTCCAGACTGCTCCACTTCCTGATGACTATGACTGAGGAAGTACTTCCTAACATCCCTGTGACTCATCTGAGTGTTCAACTTCTAGTTGTGACCCCTTGTTGTTGTGTCACATTTCTGAAACATTCTGTCCCTATCCACCTTGTCAGTTGCTCTCAGTATTTTATATTACTTCTCCCCCACCATCCCTCCTGTCCTCTAGTGTTGCCAGGTTGAGTTCCCTTAACATCTCCTCGTAGGACAAACCCCTCAGCTCCAGGACTAGTCTTCTTGCTAACCTTTGCACTCTTTCAAATTTCTGTACGTGTTTGACCAGGTGTGGGTTCCATACGGGTGCTTTATACTCCAACAGGGGCCTTCATTAGGGATTTGCCGGTACTTCCGGCCCGGGTCTTCTCCAGATGGTGACCCGGCGTACAGTGTCGTGAATGACTCCTTACTTAGATGTCGAAACGCTAGTTTCAAGTTTGCCAGATACCCGTATGCGGGAGCAGTTATTTGGTTGATGCTCACTCGAAGATCCTTTTCCTTGGCTGAGTTTTGTAGCCTCCGACCTCTTAGGCTGTACTCCGTCTGCAGTCTTCCTATGTCATTCCCCTAGTTTCATAACTTTGTACTTGCTGTGGTTAGACTCCAGGAATCATTTGCCGGACCAGGCTTGCAGCCTGTCCAGATCCCCTTGTAGGCTTACCTGATCTCCGTCAGCTTGTATTCTCCTCATTAGTTTCACATCGTCTGCGGACAGGGACACCTCTGACTGTCCCTTCTGCCATGCCATTCACATACACAAGAAAAAGCATCGGACCTACGACTGGCCCTTATGAAACCTCACTTGATACATGCCCCCACAGACACCTAGTATCGCACCAACTCAGACTGTTTCCTTCCTGTCAGGTAATTCCTGATCTATTGCAGTACTTTCCCTCCTATTACTGCCTGCTCCTCTAGCTTTTCAACCAGTCTCATCCATGGTACTGTGTTGAAAGCCTTCTTACAGTCCAATAAGACGCAGTCTACCCATCTCTCTCTCTCTTCTTACGTCTTGGACCTGGTCATAGAACTCCAGTAGGTTTGTAATGCGGGATTTTCCTTCCCCGAAGCCGTGCTGGTTGTTATGTACGAGTCCATTCCTTTGTAGGTGTTCCACTACTCTTTTCATTATAATAATCTCGGTAACTTAATATACAATACACGTCAGCGACACTAGTCTGTAATTTAGCTCAGACTGTCTGTCTCCTTTCTTAAAAATCGGGACTACATTTGCTGTCTTCCACACCTTAGGCAGTTGCCCTATCTCGTTAGATTTATTGAAGATTGTTGTTAGTGGCACACACAGTACATCTGCTCCCTCTCTCAGGACCCAAGGAGAGATATCTGGGCCCACTGCCTTCAAGGTATCTAGTTTCCCTAGCAGTTTCTTCACCCTTCCTCGGTTGTGTGCACTTGCTTGTACACCCGATCACCTCGGTTTGCTGGAAGCCTCTGTCTTCACTGTGACTACCTCTCTGAATCGCGAGGTAAGCTCTTCACGTGCTTCCTAATAGTTTCCTGTGAGCTCGCCTCCTTCCTTCCTCAGCCTGATTTCTTGATCCTTGATTGTTGTTTTCCTCCTGATGTGGCTGTATAACAACTTTGGATCAGATATGACTTTTGATGCTATGTCATTCTCGTATTGAAGCTGGGCTTCTCTCTTTATCTATGCATATTCATTTCTGGCTCTTCAGATCAACTCAATTTTCCTGGGTCCTTTGCCTTCTATACTTTTATCCATACTCTTGCACACTTGGCACTGGCCTCTCCACATCCCTCCCCCCTTGGTAAACCATGGGCTCACTTTGGTACTTACCGTTGTTTCTGTTGTCCCTTGGTACGAACTTCTCCACTGCCTTCCTGCACTTTGTGGTCACGTGTTGCATCATTTTGTTTGCTGTTTTTCCATCTAGCTCGCTTACCCACTGCACCTCATGTAGGAATTGCTTCATACTTGTGTAGTCCATTTTTTGGAAGTTTTGCTTCTCCCATCCTTCTCATACTGCTTCACTCTCCATTGCCAACTACTATATATTTGAAACTCAAGACCACGTGACTGCTATCGCCTAAGGGCCTTTTGTTTGTAATATTCCTTATGTCCAAACTGTTCAAGGTGAATATAAGGTCTAGCTTTGCTGGTTCATAGTTCTCTCTCTCTCTCTCTCTCTCTCTCTCTCTCTCTCTCTCTCTCTCTCTCTCTCTCTCTCTCTCTCTCTCTCTCTCTGGATGTGTCCCTAACATGTTGGTGCATGAAGTTTTCCAGTACCACATCCAGCATCTTGGCTTTCCACATCTCTGGTCCCCCACGTGGCTTAAAATTCTGCAGGTCAATCTCTATGGTTGAAATCTCCATGATTAGTAACTAGTCCTGCTCAGATGGGCCCTTCTGGCAGCCTCGGCTAGTATGTCCCATCACACTGTTGCTTTCATCGTATTCCTGTCTTGGCCTCCTATTGTTCTGTGGTGGGTTGTACATTACTGCTATTATCACTTTTGGGCCCCCAGTATGAAGTGTTCCTACTATGTAGTCATCTGCTACTTCTCTGACTAGTCCTCCCGTCTCTTCAAAACTATCGTTCTTGATGAGCAGTACAATTCTTCCCCCCCCCCCCTCTGCTCCCTCTGTCTTTCCTCAGGATGTGGTAACCAGACGGGAAGATCGTTTCTCTTATCACTTCCATGTGTGTACTCACCTAATTGTAGTTGCAGGCGTGTGTGTATGTGTGTGTGTGTGTGTGTGTTAGTTGTTGGTGATTGTCTGGCGTCTTCATGTGTTGATGGTTGTATAGTTGCTGATTGTCTGATATCTGTGACGAGATGTTGCCTTCTGGTTCTGTATGTCACGTGTGTTCTGCCTGTTGTGCTTCACCTATGTGGTTGCAGGGGTCGAGTCATAGCTCCTGGCCCCGCCTCTTCATAGCTTAAAGCTATGAATGGATCCTGCCTCCACTACATCGCTTCCCAAACTATTCCACTTCCTGACTACTCTGTGACAGAAGAAATACTTCCTAACATACCTGTGATTAATCTGTATCTTCAACGTGGTGTGTTCTTGCCTATCTGTGCTTATCTATCTGTGGTTGCAGGGGTCGAGTCACATCTCCTGGACCTGCCTCTTCGCTGGTCGCTACTAGGTCCACTCTCTCCCTGCTCCATGAGCTTTATCGCATCTCTTCTTAAAGTTATGTATGCAGCCTACCTCCGCTATGTCACTCTCCAGATTGTTCCACTTCCCGACAACTCCATGACTGAAGAAATACTTCCCAACATCCCTGTGACTCATCTGAATTTTCACTTCTAGTTGAAAACTCATGTGATATGTTGATGTGTCTCAATTCTGAAACATCCTGTCCCTGTCCACCTTGTCAATTCCTCTCAGTATCTTTTATGTCGTTATCATGTCCCTCCTATCCCTCCTGTCCTCCAGAGTCGTTAGGGTTCGATTTGCCTTAGCCTCTCCTCGTAGGACAAACCCCTCTGATTTCTTGACGTGTCTGATCAGGTGTGGGTTCCATACTGGTGTTACATACTCCATCCAATATGGGCCTGACATACACGGTATACAGTGTTGCAAATGACTCCTTTCTTAGATATCAAAACACTATTTATTTTTGCCTGGCGTCTGCATACTGTAGCCTTTATTTGGTTGATGTGTGCCTCAAGGGATGTGCTTGACTCCCAAGCATGTCATCCGTCTGTGGTCCTTTTATTGTGTATTTATGTATACATGTATGTGCGTGTGTGTGTACTCACTTATATGTGGTTTGAGGAGTCTAGTCATTGCTCCTGTTTTATGTTCTAATGGCCATCCTTAATACAGAAGAGAAAATTAATATATTTTTAAGGAAGTAGTAATCTGAAAATGTAATTGCTTAGGTGGTTTATTCTGAGATATTTACATCACGATCGAAACTTGGCATTTTGTGCCAGCTCTTGATACTTTCAATTAAAATTTTTCTAAATTTCTCCTTCCTCTATCATAACCTGGAGTATTGCTCTACACTAACAACTCCTTGACTGCAAACCTGGAGAATATACAGAACTTTGTTGATAAATTAGACATGTGCATCTCTTGGGTATCTTTATTCAGGAAACATTTCGCCACACAGTGGCTTCATCAGTTCATATATAGGAGAAACTTGAAGAACAGGAGGAGAATGAGGTAATCAGTCCCTCAACCTTGAGTCGATGTGGTCAGTCCATCAATCTTGAATAGAATACAGCATATGTGCGGAGAAGTAGCTTATAAACCGTAGTCAGGAGAGGTGCAGCAGTTGTAGATGGTGTCACATTTGTCCAGTGTGGAAGTAGGTCGTGCCCAAAGGTTAGGCAAGCGAAGAATTCCCAAGTATTAAGATCCCAAGAGGTTGCAGTGTCCTGACAGGATTGCAGATCCTGCAGTGTCTGCAATCCTGTCAGATTGCAGAGTTTGCAATCCTGTCAGACACTGCAACCTCTTGGGTCTTAATACTTGGGAATTCTTCGCTTGCCTAACCTTTGGGCACGACCTACTTCCACACTGGACAAATGTGACACCATCTACAACTGCTGCACCTCTCCTGACTACGGTTTATAAGCTACTTCTCCGCACATATGCTGTATTCTATTCAAGATTGATGGACTGACCACATCGACTCAAGGTTGAGGGACTGATTACCTCATTCTCCTCCTGTTCTTCAAGTTTCTCCTATGTATGGACTGATGAAGCCACTGTGTGGCGAAACGTTTCCTGAATAAAGATACCCAAGAGTTGCACATGTGTCTAATTTATCAACGTGTCGGTTCACTGAACCATTCATCTGCAAGAACTTTCATTGCGCGTATTAGTGCAATACAGCACCTAAATTACTGGCAACGGTTGAAGTCCCTTAACCTGTACTCCTTGGAACGCAGGAGAGAAACGTACATCATAATATGCACTTGGACAATCCTTGGGGGACTAGTCCCAAATCTGTACACGGAAATTGCTCCCTACGAAAGCTAAAGATTTGGCAGGCAGTGCAACATTCCCCCAATGAAAAGCAGGGGCGCCACAAGTACGCTAGGAGACAACATAGTAAGTGTTAGGGGCCCAACATTGCTCAACTGCCTCCCAGTATACATAAGAGGATTACCAATAGACCCCTGGTTGTCTTCGAGAGGGAGCTGGACAAGCACCGAAGTCAGTACCTGACCAGCCGGGCTGTGGTTTGTATGTCGGTTTGGGCTCGGCCAGCAGCAACAGACTAGTTGATCAGTCCCTGATCCACCGCAAGGCCTGGTCGTGGACTGGGCTGCGGGGGCGCTGACCCCCGGAACAATCCAGGTATACTCCAGGTACCTGTGACATCAAATGGATAGTTAAAAATTCATTTACTCTTATTCAAGAAATTTGCTATTTGAACTTGAACAAAGATGTACTTGTTAGTGTTGATACTTAAATCTCTCTTAACTTGGACAAAGATGTACTTGTTAGTGTTGATACTTAAATCTCTCTTAACTTGGACAAAGATGTACTTGTTAGTGTTGATACTTAGTCTCTCTTAACTTGGACAAAGATGTACTTGTTAGTGTTGATACTTAGTCTCTCTTAACTTGGACAAAGATGTACTTGTTAGTGTTGATACTTAGTCTCTTTTCAAATATATTAACTGAGAAGATAGATATATGTATAGATGCTCTATTTAAAGATAAATCATATTCACTGTTTTAATAGACAACATGTTTATAAACTTATTATTGAAGAGGATTTTGTAGGCCACTGGGCTACAGGTACTGTGAGGCCCCTGGGCTACAGGTACTGTGAGGCCCCTGGGCTACAGGTACTGTGAGGCCCCTGGGCTACAGGTACTGTGAGGCCACTGGGCTACAGGTACTGTGAGGCCCCTGGGCTACAGTACTGTGAGGCCCACTGGGCTACAGGTACTGTGAGGCCACTGGGCTACAGGTACTGTGAGGCCCCTGGGCTACAGGTACTGTGAGGCCCCTGGGCTACAGGTACTGTGAGGCCCCTGGGCTACAGGTACTGTGAGGCCACTGGGCTACAGGTACTGTGAGGCCCCTGGGCTACAGGTACTGTGAGGCCCCTGGGCTACAGGTACTGTGAGGCCACTGGGCTACAGGTACTGTGAGGCCCTGGGCTACAGTACTGTGAGGCCACTGGGCTACACGTACTGTGAGGCCACTGGGCTACACGTACTGTGAGGCCACTGGGCTACACGTACTGTGAGGCCCCTGGGCTACACGTACTGTGAGGCCCCTGGGCTACACGTACTGTGAGGCCACTGGGCTACAGGTACTGTGAGGCCCCTGGGCTACAGGTACTGTGAGGCCCCTGGGCTACAGGTACTGTGAGGCCCCTGGCTACAGGTACTGTGAGGCCCCTGGGCTACACGTACTGTGAGGCCCCTGGGCTACAGGTACTGTGAGGCCCCTGGGCTACAGGTACTGTGAGGCCCCTGGGCTACACGTACTGTGAGGCCACTGGGCTACACGTACTGTGAGGACCCTGGGCTACAGGTACTGTGAGGCCCCTGGGCTACAGGTACTGTGAGGCCCCTGGGCTACAGGTACTGTGAGGCCCCTGGGCTACAGGTACTGTGAGGCCCCTGGGCTACAGGTACTGTGAGGCCCCTGGGCTACAGGTACTGTGAGGCCCCTGGGCTACACGTACTGTGAGGCCACTGGGCTACAGGTACTGTGAGGCCCCTGGGCTACAGGTACTGTGAGGCCCCTGGGCTACAGGTACTGTGAGGCCCCTGGGCTACAGGTACTGTGAGGCCCCTGGGCTACACGTACTGTGAGGCCACTGGGCTACAGGTACTGTGAGGCCACTGGGCTACAGGTACTGTGAGGCCCCTGGGCTACACGCACTGTGAGGCCCCTGGGCTACACGCACTGTGAGGCCCCTGGGCTACACGCACTGTGAGGCCCCTGGGCTACACGCACTGTGAGGCCCCTGGGCTACATGGACTGTGGCCCCCAGTGATATTTTCAAAAGGAAAACAAAATAATCACACCAGTCAACAGTTCATCAAATACGTGATAACATAATTATAAACTTACAGTAGTAACGGAAGACTTTTCACTTAATCTCTGGAGGCCCTCCAGCTGGCGGAGGCCTCTGGGCTGCAGCCCCTTGAGTCCATGCCTTAATCCGAGCCTAATCAATAGAAGTATAAAAAAACTTATGAGGTGCTTGACGAAGCCAATCACCGCTTACGCGGCTGATGTAATATTAACAGTTCTACCCTTACAAATCTCCGTTGGTTTTCTCTCCTTTGCTATTGTTCATGGAACGAAGAACCAACTGTGTCCAACCTCCCCATGCAGAAACTGAAATGGATTATGGTGTTGAGTTTGTCCTTAGCTAGATTTCCCGATGACTCTCCCAAGTTGTCTTGACCCTTATGAGGCTTCTGCTCAATGGTACCTACAAGAGAAGGGTACCTACACATATGCTGTTATGTATGATAATCCATGTAACTGTATTTGTGTATACCAGAATAAACTTACTTATCTGAAAACAATTAATGCGTTAGTAACTGGCTTGGGGCCTAGGCTATACAAAATCCCTGTGCCTACCCTAAGCTAGCATCAGTATGTCTCAGGAGTTACTAGCTTCTAGCACTATGTTTATAGGGTCTAATTAATTGCTCAAGTACTATTATACCCTATCCTATGGTAGGGCATTACCCCATTCGTAACCCATATGCTAAATCATCTCGCCATTCACCCTCACTACGTTACCAAGGTAAATAGTAAAATTAATCTTACAAGTGTCAAGAAAGCGTAGAGACGATTTATCCTCTGTAGCTCTGGAGTACTCTACTGTTGCTTCTCTGGCTGCCAAACGTCTATTTGTAGGGTGAAGGGAAGGTCTGGACACTGCCAATACACGCAGCACTGGTCCACACTCCAGTCCTCTCGTTACCAGAAGAACGCTCCCTGTATTATGCTTGCCCCAGCACACGGCTGAGTTGCCGGGTGCTGGGGCCAGCATCCTAATATTAATGTCCTTGTTTACTATAATAATTACAATATTATTTAATGATTCAAGCCTTCCTAAACTATTTCTAAGGCTATGTTGAATTTAAGGGTTTATTAAAATGGGTAGAGTCCCGGTTCCGAGGTTTCGTTAAGGTTAAGGATACTACATGGTCCCAGGTATGCAATATAAAATGCTAAACACTTAATGTTTACTAGTCGTCAGTGGGGAACTTGTGGTTTCCACATTTTTCCACTCGTCTCGCCGGCAAAAAGACACTGGGGATAAATCAAGTACACCTGTCAGCCCTCCCACTGTCACAATGAATCTTATCAAGTGTCTAGAAGTAAATACACACAGATCTAAATGGGGTGCACAATAAACTAGCCACTTTGGTGGCAAAATCTAGTCTAATCTGGTCCGTGGATGCCTCAAGCCGGCCGGTTGTTCTGGTCGAGATGTTGGTCTAACTCCGACTGTCCAGCTTTCACTGTATGGACCTTAAGAGACAGAAGCTATTGATGGTCTTGATAGTCTCGACACCATTCACTTTTAATCATGCTCAAATATGCAGCCTTGTCTGGGTGGATCAGTGCCACTTGCTCCAGCGGCCCTTTTGTCCTGGAGGTTTCGTTTTCAACTAATTCAAGGTCCCCTGGGTTTAGTGTTAGTTTATTTCCCTCTGGGTCTGCCCCGTAAAAGTGTTCCCACACGGTGGTTAAATGGCCATGTCATACCTCATTCCACTTATCTAGTATCTTCAAGAGCGTATTGTAGCTCGCGTGTAACTCTCCATTGGTAGGAGGTCCCTCGGGACTATGATAGTTCTGATCCTTGGAAGGCCGACTCAACACTGTGGGAAAGGGCTCGATCCTTCTCACAAACAGCAGATAGGAGTGAAAGCTTGTAGTTCAGCAGTCTTACTCTGTACATAGGTTTATTGCACGGATTCTGATACTACTTCCCTTAGCACTCCTCACCGTCCTATCTTTACCTCTGTTATACTCTCCACCCTCGCTGGCCTCTGAACAAGGATATTACACATTTAGCACACCTTACCCTGCAACGCTGTATGACCCTTGCGGGTTTAGCGCTGCATCAATTTGAGCTAAAACAATCCGTAATTCGTCAACGTTCACCCAATTACCGTTCCCACCATATGCTCATACAACCTCTCTGCCACAGTGCTATGAACCCATTACTGTAAGCTTTTAAATTGCATGTGGTTCAAATAGTCATGGTAGGTCTTCTCGTGTTCGGGAGGTAGTTGTTTCCTCTTGAACCCTACCATGTCCAAGTCCCACAATTTATGAACTGGCTCCTCGCCAGCTCCATAACCCTGCACATTTGTACATCATTACACATTCGTATGTTCATTACTACCACGGCCTCTGTCAACGTGGATTTGGCCACTTCACCCTCTGGCATTGCAGGAATTCGGATAGTACCCTGCCACCTATAATGTACCCAGTCAGGGGCCTATACAAGCCACCACCTTCCCTACTAGTCCGTCTATGGGACAGGAAATCATCCATGTAATTGGCTCCCACCAATATACCCACAACTTTGTCTATCTGTGGTAATACCTCACTCGGCAAAGTTTACTCCAAGCTTCTTCAAACGCTTAGTTGCTGCAACAAGGCCTTTGGTGGTAATTGCCCTAGGTAGCGATTTCATTATAAAATCCGTAATACTCATGTGATGCTCACCTAATTTAACAATAACATAAAATATCGTATATCCTAAATGATGGGATACAACTTCCAAACCCTTCCAGTGACATGCTGACTTTGCTGGCGGCCCGCAACTTCCATTTTGCCGCCAGCTTCTCGGTGATATGGGAATTTTGTGCTCCTGCGTTAAAGAACACTCGGGTTGTTTCGGACCTCTTCCCGTTCACAACCACCGCAATGACAGTAGCTAAAACAACAGAACATTAGAATTTCCCTCTAGGATTAGACCCCATTCCCAGATGTTCATTACGTTAGCCACCAACTCAGGCTTGAGCTTACTCTCCGACCTACTCTGAGCTATATTCCCACTAGCCTGAGCTCTCGGATTTTTAGGGCATGATGCAGTATGTTTACCTTCCAGCAACAGTAACACTAAATTTTGCAGTCCTTGGCGAGGTGTTCTCCACAGCAACGTAAAATACGTACTAAACACTTATTTACTATTTACTATGATAATGTGGCGTACTAGATTGATGGACTGAACACATTGACTCAAGGCTGAGGGACTGATTACCTTAAACTCCTTCATCTTCCACCTTTCTCTAATGGACTGGCTGGCGAAATGTTTCCAGAATATACTCATATGCTTCACAAGTGTGTCATTTATCAACTAGTAGTTTTTTTAAACTAATTAAGGCTAAACTTACCTGGAGTATTTCCAGAGGAAGTTTTGGGGGTCAACGCCCCCGCGGCCCGGTCTGTGACCAGGCCTCGTGGTGAATCAGGGTCAGATCAATCAGGTTGTTACTGATGGCCGCACGTACAAGCCACAGCCCGGCTGGTCAGGTACTGACTTTAGGTGCTTGTCCAACGCATTCTTGAAGACAGCCAGGGATCTACTGGTAATCCCCATTATGTATGCTGGGAGGCAGTTAAACAGTCTTGGACCCCTGACACTAGTACCTGTTACTAAAGGTTTAATTTGCAATGTAATACATTCACGTATAGGCACGTCCAGCAAATTAATCACTAAAAAAAAAAAAACTCATCAATCATGCCTCATATAGCCATGTATTTGTACAGTATGGAGGAGTAATACATAGCGAGATTAACATTAATAATAAGTTGAAAGTGTCAAGAAAGAGGTTGTGGTCTTGACTCAGGGGGTTCAAGAAAATCTTTGGAGCTCCGAAGCACAAGTTACAGAGGTGGTCATCAGTGTCAACCAGAATCTTCGGAGCTCCGAAGCACAAGTTACAGAGGTGCTGGTCGTCAGTGTCAGCCAGCCCGGCCAGCACACCAGGTGTTGTTAGTTAGTTTGTTTCGCATTAACAACTAAGGTTACGTACATCGAGAGGTGTATCTCTCAGTGTATAACATCGAGTGATGTATATCATCCAGAGATGTGTATTTTGTATGTATACACGAAGGGGTGTGAATCTCTCGGTATATATACAATGGTGTACAAAAACCAACAGGATCGCGAGCGCGCGTATGCGTGTGCGTACTCACCCCATTTATTCGTGTTTGTAGGGGTTGAGTTACAGCTCCTGGCCACGGCACTTCGTTCATCGCGCTCTCTGCTCCAAGAGCTCCACCAGTGCGTGTTTGTGCGTCTGTGTGTTTTTTATATTCAAAGGTGCATGTGTATATTATATACATATACGGGGCTAGGAGCTACGACTTGACTCCTGCAACCATAGATAGGAAAATACATATACATACAAAAGTGTAACTCTGTATATACAAAGAAGTGTATGTCTTTGTTTATTTACACTGATAATTTAATTATCATTTCACTGCTATGCAGTATCCTTCAGCGGTGGTGTACGTACAGGAGACACGCTGCCTGCCTTAACACGGTGGTGTACGTTCAGGAGACACGCTGCCTGCCTTAACACGGTGGTGTACGTACAGGAGACATGCTGCCTGCCTTAACACGGTGGTGTACGTACAGGAGACATGCTGCCTGCCTTAACACGGTGGTGTACGTACAGGAGACATGCTGCCTGCCTTAACACGGTGGTGTACGTTCAGGAGACACGCTGCCTGCCTTAACACGGTGGTGTACGTACAGGAGACACGCTGCCTGCCTTAACACGGTGGTGTACGTACAGGAGACATGCTGCCTGCCTTAACACGGTGGTGTACGTACAGGCGACATGCTGCCTGCCTTAACACGGTGGTGGTCGTACAGGAGACACGCTGCCTGCCTTAACACGGTGGTGTACGTACAGGAGACATGCTGCCTGCCTTAACACGGTGGTGTACATACAGGAGACACGCTGCATGCCTTAACACGGTGGTGTACATACAGGAGACACGCTGCATGCCTTAACACGGTGGTGTACGTACAGGAGACACGCTGCCTGCCTTAACACGGTGGTGTCCGTACAGGAGACACGCTGCCTGCCTTAACACGGTGGTGTACATACAGGAGACACGCTGCCTGCCTTAACACGGTGGTGTCCGTACAGGAGACACGCTGCCTGCCTTAACACGGTGGCGTACGTACAGGAGACATGCTGCCTGCCTTAACACGGTGGCGTACGTACAGGAGACATGCTGCCTGCCTTAACACGGTGGCGTACGTACAGGAGACACGCTGCCTGCCTTAACACGGTGGCGTACGTACAGGAGACACGCTGCCTGCCTTAACACGGTGGTGTACGTACAGGAGACACGCTGCCTGCCTTAACACGGTGGCGTACGTACAGGAGACATGCTGCCTGCCTTAACACGGTGGTGTACGTACAGGAGACATGCTGCCTGCCTTAACACGGTGGTGTACGTACAGGAGACATGCTGCCTGCCTTAACACGGTGGTGTACGTACAGGAGACACGCTGCCTGCCTTAACACGGTGGTGTACGTACAGGAGACACGCTGCCTGCCTTAACACGGTGGCGTACGTACAGGAGACCTGCTGCCTGCCTTAACACGGTGGCGTACGTACAGGAGACATGCTGCCTGCCTTAACACGGTGGCGTACGTACAGGAGACACGCTGCCTGCCCTAACAACACACAGTCGATAACCTTTAACCTAATAATCCACTTAACAAGCAGAAACACTTTAATCCCTTAAACAGTGAGTAAAATAAAAGTATTTATAAACATTAGATATAAATGTATATAACTCAGCCTCTTGAGAATAATGAGACGATGAGGCGTGTTTATGTTGTTCTCATTATTCTTCCCCAGTCTTGGTGTCAAATGATATTTTTTAAGAGTTAGAGGCAAGTTAATAGTGTCCTCAGTAAAGTTGTTATACGCTAAGTTCTTAAAGGTGTTCTTAAAGGGCTTTAAAATCATCAGTGTTCGTAAAGTGCATATGAACACTCATCAGTGTTGGAAAAGTGTTTATGGATATTTATTAGTTTTGGAAAAGTGTTTATGGATATTCATCAGTGTTGGAAAAGTGTTTATGGATATTCATCAGTGTTGGAAAAGTGTTTATGGATACTCATCAGTGTTGGAAAAGTGTTTATGGATACTCATCAGTGTTGGAAAAGTGTTTATGGATACTCATCAGTGTTGGAAAAGTGTTTATGGATACTCATCAGTGTTGGAAAAGTGTTTATGGATATTCATCAGTGTTGGAAAAGTTTTTATGGATACTCATCAGTGTTGGAAAAGTGTTTATGGATACTCATCAGTGTTGGAAAAGTGTTTATGGATACTCATCAGTGTTGGAAAAGTGTTTATGGATATTCACCAGTGTTGGAAAAGTGTTTATGGATATTTATTAGTGTTGGAAAAGTGTTTATGGATATTTATTAGTGTTGGAAAAGTGTTTATGGATACTCATCAGTGTTGGAAAAGTGTTTATGGATATTCACCAGTGTTGGAAAAGTGTTTATGGATACTCATCAGTGTTGGAAAAGTGTTTATGGATATTCACCTGTGTTGGAAGAGTGGTAAAATTAAGTGAATAATGTTGCAACAATTACAAGGCATCATTTATCAACATGGGAAGGTGAGTGTCAGTTTAGAACAGCTGAGTGATGTGTGTCTCTGGCTCTCTGTCTGTCTCTCTGGCTCTGTCTGTCTCTCTGGTTCTGTCTGTCTCTCTGGTTCTGTCTGTCTCTCTGGTTCTGTCTGTCTCTCTGGTTCTGTCTGTCTCTCTGGCTCTGTCTGCTTCCCTGGCTCTGTCTGCTTCCCTGGCTCTGTCTGCTTCCCTGGCTCTGTCTGCTTCTCTGGCTCTGTCTGCTTCTCTGGCTCTGTCTGCTTCTCTGGCTCTGTCTGCTTCTCTGGCTCTGTCTGTTCTCTGGCTTGTCTGTTCTCTGGCTCTGTCTCTCTGGCTCTGTCTGCTCTCTGGTTCTGTCTGCTTCTCTGGTTCTGTCTGCTTCTCTGGTTCTGTCTGCTTCTCTGGCTCTGTCTGCTTCTCTGGCTCTGTCTGTCTCTCTGGTTCTGTATCTCTGGCTCTGTCTCTCTGGCTCTGTCTGCTTCTCTGGCTCTGTCTCTGTCTCTCTCTCAATACCATGGTTCTACTAGGTTAAGGGTTCATAACTTCATTTACAAGCTAAGAGCTGTTACCTACATCAGCTAATTTGTAAGCCATTTTATTGTTATCAGACATACAAATAGTGAACAGGATGAGGTTAGAGCCATCTGTGAGTCAGCAATTTCATTTAGTCAGCTGACTTTATTTCCCTGATGTCATTAGTGCCGTGCGAACATGTTCCAGACTCGGGTCATACTATGAATAAAAGATCTCAGATGAAGCGATATTCTTGAGAAGGGCACAGTCAGAGTGTAGCTGTTGTTCGCTGCCCGTCTTGTTGCGTAGAAGCTCTCTTCTCGCTGTCCACGAAGTGGAGACAAGTGTGGTACCATAACATTGGCCTTGTGCATGACAGGAAGGCCTCCCCCCCCATCCTTCCTGTATTAGTTTAATATCCTTATTATGCAGCCTATACCCATCCTGTGGGAGGTAGTCAAAAGATTACAGAGGTACATAATGGGTCCAGGGACTGGACAGCAAAGTTTTGATAATTGAACAAGTTACAGTGGTAATGAATTATTTACATGATTATATCTGATCATAATCGTAATGCGTTATTTATCAAGACATGAATTAAGACAGACACACACACACCACACACACACACACACACACACACACACACACACACACACACACACACACACACACACACACACACACACACACACACACACAGTGGTAATTCTTCATTAACATGAACAAAGTCAAGGTATTTTTCCATAATGGTTTGTAATATACCACTGTGGATAAAATACTTTGACATTTCTTGAACATTTCTAAGTGAGTTATCTCTGAATTCATTAATTTTTGTCACATTCTAGTACTTAATGACGCAAGGTGTGATACTTGTCCATCTGACAAAGTTTACATTTCGTTTGGTCTACATCTGGTGATGGTTATTTAACCTCCCTTTGTGGGGCCCTAGCTCCCTTGCAGTGCTCCTCTTTCTTAGCATATGACTGTCTCCACTACTACTACCTTTACCACTGCCTCTCTTCCTCCTTTCTTATTACCTCTGTTGTCCCGTCCTTGTCTGCTGGCCTATATATACTTCCTCCTTATCTGATTTTTGTTAGTGTGACTTTGTAAATGGTCCAAGTCGGACCGAAACGTCGTCGTAAGCGCCTCTCTATGTGCGGGTTATTTGTGTACTCCAAAAGATACTTGTAACCCAGCCGGATCCGGATGGTAGTGACATCGAAGAGTCTGCTTATTTTGCTAAATGCACTATAGACATGTGGCTCCTCCTGCATGATAGAATGATGATAAATGGACTAACTAGTGTCAGTCTCCTTCAGCTGAAGTTCTTTTCGTATTGTTCTCATACTGCGATGACACTCTTCAGGTCACTTGTTCTATCTAGGCTGGAATATTGCTGCACA